TTAAATCTCGGGATCCTTCTAGATATAGTGTAGTCTTGTATATATAAACCAGTAAGAACTGAGGCGATGTAATGTGTAATTGAACTGTGGAGAGAGAATATTGTTGAGCACGTGAGACGTTCGTTGTGAATTATAGCGTTTGTTATAGAGTGACTGTTGAAATTAAGTGTATCGCAAAGTTGTATTCAGGAAGAATAAACCAATTTTATTTAAGAAAGGACTTGTATCGGTAAAATTCTTCGGGAAGAATTTTTACGGAAAATTAACTAACGAACGGAGACGTAACAGTACTTTAGAATTCAAAATAATCCAATAGATTGGGAAAACATACAAAACTTTATTTTAAAACTAAGTTACTAGGATTCATTAGACCTAAGTATACCTTTCCCTGATGCGTACATCGGCTTTTCACTTCACTTTGTTTAGGCTGTAATGTTATATTGTGAATGTGAGTTCTTTCTTTAATGTTATCTATTTGTTTTTCTTTCAAAAAACTGGTATTGTTTCGTGAATAAAAGAAAGTATAAAATTCATAATTAGTATGCCTATAGGTCTATAAAAGCAGTATTGATATTTCATATTAGTATTACATTTTTTTATCTTATACTTAACTGCATAACATAGTGTCAGGTTAATAGTTTAATATTATTTCAATAAAATTCAGAAGTTGGGAATTTTCAATTTTATTTGTGTGCTTATTGTTTTCCTGTTTTTTTGTCTTAAAAGGGATGGTGTATAATTCAAACAGATTTTGCTTTCTTGTGGTTTTTTAAAATTTGTCAGTCATCTTCACAAATTTTAGGAGCTTCTTAAGTTTGCTTGTCATGGTAACAGTCAAGATTAAATTGAACTGAGGACAGAAACTATATATATGACAAGCAAAAGTACCTACCCCCAGTGTCAGGAAAACTTTAAGTTAATCTAACAATTTAAATTATTTTATGGACTTTTAAAAGGTTATCTGTGTTGCACTTTTGGTTTCACTCAGAGGCAAAGTTCTGAGCTACTTATGCCACCTACCATGAAAAGTAATTGTTGAGCATTTCAGTCATGCTAAGAGCTGCTCACCACTGACATATGGTAAATCTACATTTTTATTCTTTAAGTTATGTTACATTTTGAAATATGAATGATAGTATGATTAATTCCTAACAGTTTAGTGTAGAATATCCTGCTTGCAAAATATAATTTGACATCATTGTTAATCATGCCTGTTCTACTGTTATTTCAAAAGTGAATGTTGAGCTTTGCCTGCATGTGCAGCTTTTCAAACAGGAGACAGACAAACAATTCTATAGATACCACTGTTCGCAATATATATATATATATATATATATATAAGGTGTCAAGTTAGATGTTTTAGTTTGGAGCAGACTATTGGATATACAAGACTGTGGAGTGTAGGCATTATTATTTAATTTAGTTTGTGAATTAACATTTAATGATTGTTGAGTTTTGCATAACAAGAAAATTAAAAGCAATTATTTTAAAGGAGATAGTTATGACAAGTTTGGTTACATAACTCGATAAGAGTCATACATTGTGGTTGCAATTCATTGCTGTCAAGGCTGTAGAAAGCATATAAATAGCAGTGACCAAATGAGCAGGAGCAGAGTAAAAGTAAAGTCAAGTGAAAGAGAAGTTCAGTCAGAGAAAAGTTAGAAAATGTGATGTTACCCATTGTGGGAGTGAATAGTCTTAATGGTTGATATTTTAAAGCAAGATTAACAATTTGATAGAGATAAGGAGAATAATTTATCTTGTCAAAGGGTGTTCTAAACTAATTGAACCCACCTGTGTGGACTTTGACAAAAAGAAGACAATTATTGGAAGTTTAGGGAACAACTGTGGTAATCCACTAGGCAGCATAAGTGAATTACTAGCTGATACTATTATAATAAAACTAGAGAAAAATAGTTCGGCTTGTCAACTGGATTCTAAAGCAATTGAATCAGCCTAAGTTGACTTTTGACAAGAAGAAGAGAACTGTATAGTGTTTAAAATACAACTATGATCTCCATAGTGTAAAGAATTTTTTGTACATACGTTTAACTTGTTTTGAATATATTATTTTAAAACAAGTGGAGTGCATACTGTCCTTTTATTGTTCGAATTTATCACCAACAAGTCACAGACACCTACTGTAGAAGAATCCTTGACCCACACCCATATATATATACTTAAAGTTCTGACACAGACTAGTGTAGTTACTGTGTGGAATAGTTTTTTTATGTCTAATCAGCAAGCTCAAACAGGAACAATAACTAAATCTTTTTGATGTAGTTCAGAATGTATGTTGTTGTAACATCCTTAAGCCTTCTTTTTTAAAAAGTGCATCAGGTGATAACCAGGACAGAGTTTAAACACATTCAAGGCTATATTGGGTGCATGTAGTAGGAATGCCTTATAGTTTTGTTTTCAAAGTCTGTAGGCCATGGGCAAGAACAGGAGTATAATTTTCAGGGATATTTGTAAAATATGAGGGGGATACCTTAAGTTTTATCTTTCAAATTTCTTTCATATGATATCTGAAACAATTTAGACTAACTTAAATCTAAATATCTTGGAACTATGTAGTGGAAAAACTTTTGGGTACATTTTTAAGGATCTGTTTAAAAATTAAAATATTTGGAGGTAACATTTTGAAAGCTATTAGGGAAAGTAATGAGAAAGCTTCTAAATTTCTTTTAGTTAATCCTACTCTTGGCTATTTTGGAAGGTTATGGTATGAACATGTCTTAAATTTTCCCCTTGAAGAGCTATTCAGACAAAGACAAAAACATGACGTTAGGAATAAAAATCAAAATAATTGGAAGTTGGACAGACATCCGAGAAACATGCAATAGAAATATCCTCGAGTTTGTTTTAGAAGTTTCTCATATATTTACCTTCCATTGCTTTTTAATTGTATTTTAACTGATGCAAAGATTCTTACTTGAAGTGCAAGTTTTTTTGAATTTTTAAGGCAACACCATTGTGCTTTGAAACCTGTTTTTGAAACTGTACACATTACATGTAAATGATGTTCATTAGTGTAATACAGGGAGTCATTATAACATAGTCTCAACATGTAGCTGATAAGTCATGAAATGATTGTCTACTACTGATATAATGGAAAACAAATTCAGTTGAATGTTTAAAAAAAGAGGACTCTAATCTGGCAATTTACAAATGAACTTCTAAAAAAAATGTAATTCAAAACAAACCTATAACAACAAAGTAAAAACCCTATTTGAATACATGAGTGGTGGTATTTTTAACATTTGTATGAAAAGTGAGTTGATATTGTGTGTTAGATTTATACTATAGATTTGTTTTATGTATAAAAAAAGTCTTAAAAATATCATTTCTCCAGCAAGACAATTCTGACTGGGGCTTCAGTTTAATGAACACCTCATCATCACAGCAAGCTGCAACCCAGCAAAGTCAAGGAAGAACCAGAAATGGTGCTTATGGTATCTCTGGAAAAGATCCATTTGGTAGAAAAACAGCAGTTAATTCAAATGGTATTTGAAGGATTTCACTAATCATTTATGAAATGGTTTTTAATGCAGTTTTTAACCTTAATTTTTTTGTTTTTTTAACACCTGCCACACAAGCCAGCCCAGCATCTTTTAATATTAAGCCTAGGATGGTCAACGGGGGAGTCATTCCCTAAACCAGTGATTTAGGGTTATTTCAGTAGACTTCAATGAATGAAGCTCGGCACAAATTCTGAAAAGGAAAAAAATAAATATTAATGAAAGTATGACATGGTAAAACCTATATGGATACCCTTCATTACAGAAATGGCATTTTTAATATGAGAGAATCACAAGGGAAATCATCTTGTAATGCAATGCACATCTGCTTTACCTTCAGCACTGTATCTTTGGGCTTTACATGCTGTTAATTCACAAAATATGGAAACTAATTATTTCTTATATATGATTCCAATCCCCCCTTTTAAAGATAATGATACTATTATGCACATTTTTTTTGTTTCCTTGTTAATGCAGTAATCAATTGGCAAATCTCCAATTCAGCTGGTATGTCAAATTGATTGGCATATCTTTGTATAAGTTCTTCTCTCATCCAACCTGGACCCACAGTTTAGCTTATTTGCTACACTTAAACCATCACATGCACAACCACGTATAGAACATTTCAAGCATGTTTCGTTAACTTCTCCATTTTGGCTCTCATGGTCTCAGGTCTGGTTCAACAACCTAGTGCCAAGCGTCTTCATTTTGTCTAATCAAACCAACCAAATCTTTCTGGAATGACCCATGTTTTTGGTTCTACATCAAGATGCTGGGCTGGCTCTTGTAGCATGTGTTATACTTACTGAAACCCTTAATTGTATATGTAACATACTGTATCCATTAGTTTAAAAGTATGGGAAGGGACTCAAGAAGCCAGTTAATAGTTGATTTCCATTTGCATAAAGTTGATGACATTTTAGTCTGATAAGCTGATACACTATTATATGTTTGTAGATTTGTATTTCATGACTGCATTAGGTAGCATTTTAACATTAATTTTTATTGCTTAGCTGGCAGAAATCAAAGACATCAGCTTACAACACATAAAGTGTAAGCAAAATTTATTGATGATCTTTTTTGGCTGAAAACCTATTTTTGTTAAATGAGCAAAAGTAGAAAGTATGAACAGTCTTGTTTTTGTTTCACTTTACAGTCAAAAGTTTAAAATTAATAAATATTTAGATTTACTACACAGAGAGAGAATATAGAGTCTGACCACTTTATTAGGATCTGTGTACCCTTTCAGAGTTGGACTTGACCTGAGGTGTAGGTGCAAATTTAGCTGATCACATGGTGTTGGGTGAACCCTGCAGCACTACGAATGACTGGGACAAGCATTCATTAGAGGCATAATAGAGGTTGCATATATAGCAGGTGCCTTAGTAACCAAGACAGCTTCATGGGTAGGCTTCTCCAAAATGTCAGTCATTTGATTTTATCAGCAATGGAAAAAGATGAATGAATTGTCTGCAGCAAGAGGAAATTGTAAATGCAAACATGTAATGACAAGAATGGCTGTTAGACAGGATGGTGAAATACAACAATTGTCAAACAATACACCCTGATATACATTTAGTGCATAGCAGTTCACAATCATCTTCAGCCATACCTTATGAAGAACATTGCAACAAATGGATTATAGTATCAGGAGATCATTGCATAACTCACTGAACTCGGTTACCAACAAGAAAAAATGCCTTGAGTGGTATAAAGAGCATCAATCTTAGACTAATAAGGCTAGGTGAAAGGTGATATGGTCCAATGAATCATGCTTTACCCCTTTTTGTGCAGGTGGGAGAAGAAAGATGTGAAAAGCTGCAAGAATATCTCCCCCTCTTGTGTGTTCTCAAATATCCTTGCTTCTGGTGCTAGAGTCATGGTTTGGACCATGTTTTCCTGGCATATTCTGGGTCCCTTTAGAAGGCAGGATGAATGCCACAGCTTACTTCAGCATCATTTCTAATCAAGTGCAACCAGCAATGCATCATGTGTACTCTGATGAGGACAGGTACATCCAAGATGAAAATGCTTTCATTCACCATGCTCATATAGTGCCTGTATGGCTTATTGAACATGATGAAGACTTTAGACATCTTCCATGGTCACCACAGTCCCTGAATTTCAATCCAGTTAGCATCTGGGGGATGAACTTGAAAGACACTTTCACCATCATTGTCCTCCTCCTACCTTGCTCCATTAATGTCATACACTATTAATGACTGAATGTGAAAACATCCTTGGAATATCTTCCAGCACCTTGTGAATTCTGTGCCATGATGTATCATGACTGTTGTTGGACCAGAAGGTCCTAATAAAGTGGCCAGATATTGTATGTAAGCTGTTTTATTTTATGAAAGCATTTTGTTTACTCTTTCAGAACTTGCTTCTCCAAATGGAAACTTTGCTAATTTCGAAAATTCTTTTAGCAGTGTCCCAGGTTAGTGTTTGTTGTACATTTTAGTATTTCATAAAATTATATTTATACAGGTTTCTATTTTTTGTAGATTCATTTGACAGATATAGCTGCATGCATTAGATTGAACCCATATGAATGTACTAAATGACACTGTACCTACCTTTCTTATCACACAGATTTTTCAGTTTATATAAAAAAGAAAAATTGATAAAGAGTATTCATTTAAATTTTTCAATATATATTATTAAACATAAGATTCCTGATTTTATATTTGAGATCATTATATTTAGAAAGAAGTGTCATATTTTATGTAAGTTTTTGTTTGTTTAGATTTTTTATTTATCACAGGGTTTTTTATGTGAAAGAACTGTTATGTTTTATTATTCAATAAATTTATGAATTTTCTTTCTAATGTTTTGAAGGGCTCAATGTTTTTTTAAATATGTAGAAAGCAATTGTTTCCGATATTATACGTTATACATTATAGCTTTTCTCAATTAATGCTCCCTGTACATGCTTAATTTTTTTACTCACCACTAGCCTTGATACTCCCACATACCCCCACTTGTTTAACATAGTATAGCTGTGCTTTAGCAAACAAAAGCATGCGATAACGCTATACCAATAAGAGCACAGCACTGTCTCTCCCTGTCCATCCTCACTTCTCAATTTAGCACTCAAGAGTTTTTAGATGTTTTGCTTGCCTCGCTTTAATTTTTCAAATTTTGCAAAAAGTTTTTAACTTTTATGCTTAGTTTTTAAACTTAAACGAAAAAAACAACTTTGATAATCAAATAGCAGTTCAGTAACAGTTGAGTTTTTTCGTGAAATTTTTTTTTCTTTTTGTGACAACAACTCATTTTTTACCAAGAGTTTTGTCTTGAGGTACTTATTCACTTGAAATACAGTGATGAATTTACAGTTTATTGTCATGACAACATTTACTGCTACCACTACCGTGGTTCAACTGTCTGTTACTGTGACCACAGGTATGATGTTATCAGCAGAGGAGGTTTTGGCTCTCATCTGCCATGAATTGGAGTCGTTCATACAGGCTGGGGGCTTTCCTGATTCTCAACCAGTTCCCCTACCCTGGGGATGCTGGACAGGAAGACAAAGACTTGGACAGCCTTGTCCTTTATCCTTCCTTTGCCATGCAGTCTTTGTCAGCTATGGTTGATGTTCCAAGACCTTCATCAGATTTTCTGAACTTGGTAACATAGGTTTGTCATGTTTTGTCTTTATTTGTTTAACTTCCTTGTTATATGACACACCTGCTCCCAAATATTTTGTTATTCCTCTCTCCCCAGATATCAAGATAAATGTTGAGCATTTTGTCAAACAGTTGTGTTCAGGAATTAGTATGCCACATCTTCTTGCTTTTCTGAGGCTCATGCTTTGGCCTACCATCAGGCTTTGAATCCTTTTTTGCATTCTCAACAGTTGGAATCCAGTGTACTTAAGGTATGTTTGTCCCCCCATGTCTTTAAGAGATTAATGCATGGCACCCTTTTTGTGTCAGTCCATTTTGGGGTTATCCCTGAGTCCTTGGAGTCTTGTGTAGAGTCAGCCTATCTCCATTCTTCCCTATCTTCCCTGGCCACACACCTGTCTCAATCCTCCCATGCTACTATACCTGTATTCTGTCCTTCACCTTCTAGCCTCTTACTTGATCCTACTGCTCAGGTTTCAAAGGCAAATTGTCATAGTATCTATCCACCTGATGCCAATGGTATCGGTGACTATCTGGTTGTTACACAATCTTTAGGGGCCATGCTTTACAATTTTGTCTATGTATAGAAAACCTTTACTCCAGATCCTTGGGTTCTACAAGTCTAATCAGAAGGACTCTCCCTTCTTTTCCACACATCTTCTCCCATACCGCCATTTCCAGTTCCTTTCCCTCCTCCTTGGGATCCCATTCCAGTCAGCAACTATCTGAGGTGGTTCAGGCCCTTCTTTCCAAAGGTGCTATAGAACCTGTGGCTCAGTCCCTTTGAGGTTTATATTCCCAGTTGTTTGTTGTCCTCAAAAAGACGGGAATGGTGGCCAAACATCGAACTTTCCTGTTTGAATTGCTACTTAGACCTTACTCAATTTAACATGGAGTTCCTATCTCTCCAGTGGGCATTTACTCCAGGTTTGTGGATGACAAAAGTTGATGTATACCTCCATATCCACTGCATCCTGCCAGTTCCTTTGGTTTACCCACGAGAACTGGGTCTGCCAATTCAGAACCCTTCTATTCAGACTAGCCTCATCCCCTTACATTTCTTGTCGGGTGGTCAAAGGTTTCCCCAAATGGCTCCACTCCTGAGGGCTTCATTTCCATCATTACATGGACAACTGGCTTCTTCAATCTCCCTCGTTAGCAGTTTCTTCCTGCCACAATAAGTTTCTACAGAGAAGCTACACAGGTGAATTGGCTGATCAAGTGAGAGAAGTCTGTCCTGACCCTGACACAATATCTTGAGATCCTTTTCAACTCCTACCTCAGTGATGCCCAACCTCTTCTGAATCAACTATGGTCTATGGAGCTGGCAGTTCAGAAAGCATGATCCTCTCCTACTCTACTTCTATCACTTTTGGGCACTTGGGCATCCTTGAAAACCCTTATTCCCCTGGGTCAGGCCCATGTGAGGGTTTTTGAGTGGCCATTACACTATCAATGGGACCTTGCCAGGGGTCCTCTGGATTCCTGTATCAACCTTCCTCCCTCCCTTTTCAACAAATTTGCCTGGTGACTAAACAGAAGCAACACCATGACTGGAGTTCCTCTTCCACCACCCAGACTGGATTTACACCTTTTTACAGATGTCTCTCTGATGGGCTGGGGAGTGTATTTGGATTCTTGAGATATCTGAGGTTGTGGATTATTGATCAAGTCCAAGTTTCATATCAATCTCCTGGAAGTTTTTGCTGTTTTTCGAGCTCTGGGTCATTTCCTTCACTATCTGAAGGGCAAGTCCATCATGATCCATTCCAGCAACTTGACCATAGTTTCTTACATCACCCAGCAAGGGGGCACACGTTGTCAGTCCCTCTGTTTTCCGACATTGGATCTTCTGTTCTGGGCTCACAGCCAGTATTTTCACATGCAGGCTTGACATGTCCTGGATGCTCTCAATCTTGTCATGGATCGGTTAACTTGTCCAGACAAGATTATTCCCGCAGAGTGGTCCCTCAATCTACAGGTCTTTCAGGTCTGTGCTTTTTGTTTTGGTACACTCCAGTTGAATGCGTCTGCCACTCATCAGAACACCAAACTCCCTCTCTTTTGGTCACCAGTACCATATCCTTCAACATTGGCAGGAGATGCTTTCAGCCAGGATTGGAAGGACCATTACATTTATGCTTATCCTCCCATCTGTGTACTTCACAGAGTCTTATTTTTCATTCAAATCACTCTATGTCGAGTCCTTCTATTGGCACTGTTCTGGCATGCTCAGACTTGGTTCCCATGACTACACCCTCTACAGTTGTTGCCACTGTTACCTCTTTCTCCTTCCCCGTCTCTCCTTTATCAACCAAATACATTCCTGTTTCACTTGTCTGTTCCCAAACTATGGTTTCACGCATGGCTTTTGTCTAGGCCCTTGCAAGAAGGACTGGTCTTTTCACACAGGTAGCATTCCTTATTTCCCATTCAGTCCATCCTTCCTCATTATGTGTGTATCATTGCAAATGGTGTGCTTTTTTTACATTGGTCACTCCGTCATGGCGTCATTCCTTCTGCCCCATTATCATACCTCACCTTTCTTAGTTCTTCACATGGCTGTTTGACAATCGTTTTTTCTGTTGACCATTGCAGGCTATCGGGCAGCCTTGACCTCTACCATTCATTTTTCTAAGTTCCTCTATATTTTTCCTTTCCTGTCATCTCCATTTTTTTTTCCTTCCTTTCGTATCCTCTTCCTCTCCAACCCTCTCTTTTACTGAATTGGAATCTGAATGTAGTCCTACAGGTCCTGACCCTTTCCCCATTTGAGCCTTTGGCCAATTGTTTCCTGCACTACCTTTTCTTCAAACCTATTTTCTCATCTTTTAGCCTGTGGGCATCATTGATCGATTGTGTTTGCTATTGATGTCTCACGCATCCTCTACCTCAGCAGCTTGTGAGGGTAATTTTGCATTCACTCCTATTTCCCTACCCTCCATTTCTCATTGGTATTCCTGTTTTGATCCGTATCCATTCCTGTTTCCAGTTCAGGCTTTACGATTTTATGCGGTGTGCTCACCTTCTTTTCTTGGTTCACTTTCCTGACTCTTTATCCACTGGGATTCTTCCATATCCAGAGACCTTTCCCCAATCACTCTTACAAGTTGGATTCGCTAACTTACTGATTTGCCTCATTCCTCCTTATCCTTACATGACCATTGCCTTCACCATGTCACTGGCTGCTCGTTTTCATCACCTATTGGTCATCATATGGTCTAGCATGTGGACCACTCCCCCACACTTTCATTTCACATTATCTACATTATTTGGTATCTCCTCCTTAACCAGTTTTTGTCTGCCTCCTATTGCAGTGTTGCACACTACAGCGCAATTATAAGTGGATAAGTTTACTTTACTTATCAATACTTCTTTTACAAAGTCCTTTTCTGTTGTTTCTTGTTGGATGTTACTCTGTGGTGAGTGTTATCTGTCCAGGTTTACTAATTCTTAAATCTGCACTGTATGGCCAATTAGGTCATTAATGCTCACAATGGATATGGAGTATTTTGAAAGACTGCTTGTAGGTTTTCCTCATGGTGCTTTGTGTCATAAACATGTCTGTTCCAGACCATACACTCATGGAGTAGCATGAACAAAGCAAAAGGAGATTGCTGCTTGTCCCTGCTGCTCCTTTGATTGAATAAATCAGGAACAACCTGCTTTTATAAATAGGATTTGGCAGTCACCCATTGCAATTTCTCCAATGTTGTGTTCCTCCGGACACTCCAACGCATTTCTCCCCTTCTTTCAGTGGAGTACGGGAGTCCTTATCAGATCACCCCTTCATCTGGGACCCCCTCATCCTACTGCCATATGGATATCAGTTCTCAAGTGGTATGGTGTTGAATTAGAGCTGGAACAGCCAAAAAAGTCCTCACATGTGAGTTGGCTGGGATCTTCTTCCCACCACAGGCTGGATGACACATTACCAATGCAGCATGGTTTTGTATTAGGTTGAACCTCCACATTGCATTCCACCTTCCTGCCAATGTCTGATTGTCAGTTTCTGGGGGGAACAGGTGTTGGTCATGTTGTATATGCACATGTGAGGGCTTGAGTTCTTGGAATGGATGTGCTCTTCTCTTTTTGGTTCTTGAGTCTCAGGTGAATGGTAGAAGACCTCCTTCCTATCGTGGGCCAGATGATCCTTTCCCAATTACGTGGGTTTTGGAAGGAGTTGATCTTCTGACTATGGTCCGTAGCACCCTAGTCATTCTGCATCATGGGCATGTCTGATTTCAGTTGGGTGAGGACTTCCTCCCTCCAGGGACTAGGAGAACCATTGTCAGTTTCTTTGGTTTTGAACTGGAGTTGACCTCTTGTTTACTGTTTGAATACAAGGGTTGATGACCCTCCTCCTACCAGGGACAGGATGTTGTTTTTTTCATTTCCAACAGTTTGGGGCTAGAGTTGATCTCCTGACTAAGGTCAGATGTGCTCTGTCCACTCCATATATCTGTGGTATGTATGGCTGATTCTTGTATGTGCCTCTTTGCCTCCCATTTGAGGAACACTGTTATACTTCACAGGTGAAGAGTGTACCTAGCTCAGATGTGGTGTGATCTCCCACAAGTCTGTTTCTTCTTCTAGGAGATATCACACTTCATGAGTTCTCTTTAGATACATTCTGAAGGAGACTCATATATGTCTTTTCACACTGGTCCCTCCACCAGATCAATGTGGAAGTCTAGCTATTATGTGAGAGGAGGTAAGATATCGTATAAGAAGTTATAATTTTCCTACACAGAAAATGTATTTATGATAGATGCTTACCACCATAACTCCCCTCTTCTGGTGTTTTTTTTGTGTGCCTAATCTTGAATTGAGGTTAGACTCTGTAATCTAAGTTGAGACAGCTGTACTAGGAAACTGTGTCACACCCATATTGGTAGAAGGTTGTTGCATGCTTTTGCATGCTATAGTGGAGCTGTACCAAGAGAAACACATGGGTGTAGGTGGGAATATCAAGGCTAGTGGCAAGTGAAAAAATTGAGTATATAGAGGGCAGCATTAATTGAGAAAAGTTATTATGTGAGAGGAAGTAAGTATCTTTTGGAAATACACTTTCTGTGTAAGAAAATTATAACTTTTGTTAGACATTTTTTTATCATTTAAATATGTAATAAATTTCTGATGATTATCGTTACAAAGCAAAGTAGTAAGAAAATTGGGCTAAGTGCATAGCATTTTAATAATATGTTTATATTGAGTTTTTTTTTCCTATGTTTCTTATATAAAAGCATGGAAATATATCAAAGAGATGTCGAAATAGCTAAACCAGATGAAGTGCTAAAATAGCCTTATCAAGTATAAAGAATTTTAAGTTCAATTAAATCTATATTTGCTTATAAGTGCAGTGTCTGTATAAAGTATTTGTTTATTGATTTAAAAATTATTTATGGTACTTAAATGTAAATTTATGTTGTTTTTTAAAAATTATTTTTTGTTTGCTTTAAACAGAGCAGTGCACCTTGTTTTTATGATATCATAAATATATTAATGTATAATTGTTCCAAAGGTCCTGTATTGTGCCTCAAAATTTAGCCAAGTTGTTTGGTTGCTATTTGACATCAGCATTCGTGTAATCCCATACAACCTTAATAATATATGAATATATACTGGGACTTTGTGCAAGCCAAGCTATTCTATTGGTGTCTTTTTTCATCCTTATAATTTTTGTTTTGCCACATTTGTTTCATGCTTGGAATAACTGTTTTGTTTGAAGACGAATCGCTGCCCAACATATCTTGTTCCTGAAGGAACATCATGATGGATAAGAATCTACTTGTATCTTTTAGCAGCCAGTATTAGAGCTAGGCAATTAGTGGAATTTGCTAATCAATTAATTATCAGGCTCATTAACCAGTTATATTCAACTAATTGATTACTTGCACATAAGATTTGGATAATTGAAGTAGTCAAAAACAGTAATAATCAGAAAAACTAATACTTATTACTTGATTATTTTGTGACATTAATCAATTTGATCATGATTTCAATTAATTACTATTTTATATGACACTAATTGATGCTCATAGATTATCAGTCATTTGAGTTAATCTCCCATCTTCAGTCACGATACCGTCAGTTTTGTGTAGATCTTCAGCACCACTGGCAGAGATGTATTTGTATTTGTACCCAAGCATGCTTTGTTATAAGTGCTGTATGTTTACCATGATACCATTCTCTTGCCATCTAACAAACTACCATTGATTGTTGTCAGACAATATGAATTTCAATTCGTCTGTAAAGAAATCCTCCTTCAGTTTTTTTCATCATATTTTTTGAAATAAATCTGATGCCCATTTTAGCTTTTAGCTAATCAGTGGATTTTGAGCAGCTGCACATCCACTGAAGCTACATTGTATCTTACTGTTCTGGAGGTAACATTCACATCTTTACTTATAGCAGTATCATCAGGAATATTTCTCCCTGAATTACTTAACATCACCTTTGAAGTTTGGGCTTTCAATCTTGGCCATTTCCATTATCATTTACCCTCTTCAGAGTTTCCATACAGCTCCAACTGAAACATTATATTTTGGATCAGTCTGTCATATGAAGTAACTTTCACTAGCTGAAAATTTGATTTCTGCATGTTTGTTATGATATTTCTGGCCTGGGAACCATGAGTACATTCATGATGCTACTGCTGGGAATAATTCGATTGCTTGTACTTTTATAAGGCATTGTGGTGGTGTGACATTATCTGATTAATTAGGTTATAGTGCAAACAAACAAGTTTAGGCTGCAGTTCATTTAAACATATTTACTAAATATGCATTTACAGGAAAATAAGTTTTTAGAATCAAAATGAACTACCTTGATTGATTTTATAAAGTCTGGAAACATTATAACAACATAAGTTGTACAACCCTTTAAAACTATATATAAGGTATTTGACATTTTTGTGTTGTATGATTTGTTGTGTTTCCTGTAATAACAAGAAAAGGTGTTAATACTTTATTGTAGATTTCACTCCTAGAAGTTTTGAGCTACTAAGTCAGATCTTAAACACTTTCATTTTAGTGTTCATTATTAGTCGGTTATGATAGTTTAGTGCAGAGTCAGATTGCACTTGATCAGTGTAGTATTCATTCCTTTTGCTTCTTATATGTTCTTAAATGATTAATTATCAGCAGAACATGATAACGATTTGGTACTTTCTTTTAACATGAGATTTCCAGTTTTTTTTTATGGAGAAAGTAAAATCCTTTTAATTGTGCAACTATGGTTGGTTACCAAGTAGTAAGGTTTGGGATTAGGGAATTCCTCCCCTTTCATTGTAATGGTACAGTTTAAATGGTTGTGAAACAAGCAGATTTTAGTCTCTAGATGATGACAGATTTAGATTTACATTGGGTTTTAAACATTTAAAAAGCTCCAAGTAGCAGATGTTTAGATGTAGCACTTAATTATTTTCACTTCTCATTTTGTTTCCTGGAGATGGGAAACTTCTTGAGCTACCAGTGTTTCTAAAATATTGTTCTGTGAAAAAAAAAAAGTGCATTATATCATTTATTTCTTAAGAAATTTCATTTGTTTAATATTCATCATCTGTGTTTTGCTTCTTCCCTTTAATTCTACTTTTGAACATGGTTTGGTTTAGTTTTTTTCTTGTCTTGCATTTCGCGGTATTGAGTTTTCTTTTCAGCTAACTCTTTTATATGGCTTTCTGCTCTACACTTCATATGTATGGTTTTTATCCTAATTTCTGTGTCTGCACAGTCTTGTTTTAAGACATCTGCTCTTAAGCACGTCTTTAGTTGCAGTACTAAAGGACTGGATATCTTCTCAAGAGTGAATTTGTTTGACAAAGAAATCGACAGGATCAGATGCTTTTTAACTGTTCAGTAGTTAACTATAACTTTCTAATCTTAGTAATACCTAAGCATTTTGGTCCTTGCCCTTTTCCATCTTACCAAAAACATTTGAAAGTATGAAAACTTAGGCTCTAATTTTCTAATTGTTGACTCTATACTTACATCCTCAACAGCAGCAACTACCCAAGATGCTGGTCAATTTGCAGCCCAAAATTTCACTCCATTCCAAAGTTCTTCATCAGAAGGATATTTTTCTAGCCCAACCAAGCAGACAATAAACCATCAGATTTCTGATAAGTATGCTGCATTTGCCAGTGTGAACAACCTCTTCCCTCAACCTTCTCTGCCAGTCACTACATCTGGATCTGTTTGGTCAGTTGCAGGAACTGTGTTTGGAACTTCTCCTGCTACTGGTTCAGTGTATGGAACAGGTATGATTATTTACTTTATTTGACTTGTGAAGACAAAAATTAAAAGAGCAAAAATATTTTTTATAATGTGTTAAGTTCATATATGAGTTTTGAAAATAGCATGTCCTTTAAAACTTAAATATTCAACTCTTTTAGAATGGTAATCTCAGTTGTTGATCAAAAAGTTCTAATTTATATATCCAGTCACTTTCGAAATGATTGATATGTAGTTTATTTTTAAGTCTTCTAAACTTCCTGTTAGATCCCTACTCTGCATTGATGTACTTAATTTATAATCTGCTTTATCCAACAATATTAAGTTATTGGCTTGAATTTTCTTCAAAGCTGTCCTTCTTTAGTAGTTGTTCACATGATGTATGTGATATCATATAAGGTTAAAGGAATGTAGTAATAGTAATAAAATCCACAAAAAAACAATCACATGAAAACAATATCAATCATTATATTTTCAAGGGATGATAGTTTCTCTGCAAATACAAACCTTTACTTTGGGATGAGTTGAAAACTTTTAAACAAATTGATAAATCCATTAGTTACAGGAAAACTCCTCAGAGTTGTGCAGAAACGAAAGTTGGAACCTTAATTTTTGTTTACAAATTATACCAAATAAATTTTACATAATAACAAAATGTCAATTCTTAAATATTTTTAATTTAATGCTGTTGAAGTAGAATTAGAATTATTACTATTAATTAAAGTTTGAAATTGCATATGCAGTAGTGCACTCAACACATAAAAAGTGCCCTGCTGTCTGGATGTGGATAAGAGTTAACAGAAGTCTGAGGAATGAAACTTCTGTAAAAAGTTTTACATTTAGTTCCATTTATACATCACAATAATTTGATTAGTGTATTCATACACAACTAATCGAAACCTGAAATATATTTTTACAAGTTTGGAAAAAAAACGTGTACATGTTTTAATATTTTATAATAAGAATAAGTACTATGCATAATGATAAGAAACAAGAATGTTTACATTTTTAAGCTTCATGAAGTGTTACCAAAATCATGTTTAAGCTTATTCTTTCTTGCTACATGGTAATTATATATGTTATATTGTAATGTGCTTAGCAAGTAAATAGAAATACTTTATTCTAACCATAATTTTACTGGTTTATTTGTGCAAGCAACTGATGATTGAAGCTTGATTTACATTCAATTAATCTACAATAAAATGTAATTTACCTTTTTATTTTTTAATGAATTCCACTTTTATATGTAGAAAAGTGGTACTGAAGGAAGTTATACATTTGTTTTTTGTAGTTTTACAGTTGATGACTGAATTATTAAAATCACTTATTTAAGATTGGTTTTCATTGGGTATTATCTTGGAACTGGAGGGTACTTAAAATTTAGATACTGTCTGTCTGCTGATTTCATTTTATGTTTGTGAGAAAATATATGCTTATGAATCTTTTTTTTTATTATAACAAATGTGTTGTGCAGAAATTCATTTTTAAAAGTATGAAATATAGTGTTTTAAGGTTTAAATGACACTATAATGATAAAAGTTATTAAACTGATTTTTTGAACATGATACAAAACTGTTCTGAAAACATTATTTGGTTCTGAATTTTGTTTTGAACAACATGTAATAATAATACAAAATTGAGATTAAATCAGGCTCTAACAATAACTTTCTTTTTTGTTCCTTTTTGTAATAACATTTTTAGACCTAAAGATATGTGTTAGAAACAGAATTATTCTCCTTAGAACTAGAGGTGCTGCTTATAATTCACAAAATGTATTATCAGTTCTTGTTCTATATATATATTAACAAATATATTTTTATGTTGTTGCTGTTTGATCATTGTCTGTGAATGCATGTTCTACCTTTATTATGAAATGTATGCCCTGAGAACTTTAAATTTTGAACATATAATATTTTTCATGTACAACTAATTTGGCCTAAATATCTCTTTTTGAAATTAACCAAACTAATCTAAATGTAGGTTCTGCATGTGAGAAAAGCCATCCCTCTTTTTTTTTCTCTGTATTTTTCTGGAGAAATCTTTATATTAATTAATTGTCGACACAATATTTGATAAATATTTTCACAAAGAATGTCTATTTGATGTTGGGCTAAAAACTTAGAATACTGGTGACCTTTTTTTAACAATTGGTTACACATATTCAGTAAAGAAGGAATTGTCCTGCAAATCTCTGTCCTTGTAAGATCTGATAGTTTACCAGTTTGGAATTATTTCTCTGACATGTAGTTTATTCCAGCCTTTTTGTTGATGCATTTGAAATTATGCAATGATTTCTTCTTTTCAGTTTTAATGTAATTAATTGGTGAGAATATTATTAATTTGTAGTATTCATAGTAACTCTCAAGTTTTTATATTTAATTCTTGATTTATTTCAGCTGCATCCAATCCATTCAGTTCTGACACTGCTCCAACATGGAGTCAGCCAGCCTCTGGTAGATGTGAATCGCAAAAATTTTTTCCTGCTGCTAACCCATTCCAGGGTGCATTACCACCTCCTGGATTTAGTGCTTTTGCACAAACTGCAGCTTTTGATGTTCAAGTCCCCACACAGAGTATCAATCATTTTGACCAATGTGAGATTCTAGCATCTGGCTCTCCAAACAAGGTTGATTTTGGTGTTTTTACTGAAAGTATAACACCTAATACAACTTTTCAAGTTATACCTGGTAGTTCTGGGATGGTGAAACCATCCATCGATATGTCAAAAAAACAATTTGGAATAAAAAATGAAGGATTTAACATGGGAGGAACTGCAACTGGCTGGCCTGTTACAGGCATAAACCCTAATGGGGATCAATCATCCGGGGTTACCTGGAACTTTAGAAGTGGTCAACAGGCCCAACGGAGTATTTTTCCAGATAACAAGTTTGAAAATTGGCCAAAGGAACAGTTTATTCAGTCCTCAGGCAATCCATTTTCCGTAAGTACAAGGTTATTCCAAGAGTGACAATTATTTCCTTTGTTTAGGCAGGACATTAAATTAACTTCTTTTCTTTAAATGCCACTAGAGCATGGTTAACAGTTTTTGGTTCCAAAAGAGAATTTTGAGTGCTAAATCTCTCTTCAAATAGAAATGCCAAATATTATCACTATAATGTAACAATGATATTAATCCTCTAAGCTTTGTTCAATAACTAGGTCTCCTGATTTGCTTTAGGATGGTTGCATTGTTTTATCACTGCTAGTGCTAGTCTAGGTGTAGGTCTAGATATAGTATAAGGCAAGTGATAATAAATAATAATTACATGTGTGTGTGTGTGTATACATACATATATATATATATGTATACATATACATATCCATTGAAATTCTGTATATACCCAGCTCAGACTTGAATTCTGGTCGGACAATACTTCCTTTGGCAACTTAGTAGAAATTAGCCGAATGACTTACAATTTAATAGACCACATAAGTAGAAGCCACTCTGCATTTGCAATGATGTTAGGCCATGAAATCACAAATTCATGTTATGAAAGTATGAAACTTGATTTATGTTCAGAGTATACTTATTTTATAAATCTGACTGGAAATATAATTCTGTTTTGTTTAGTTTAAGACAATTGCTTTGATATTTTTTGTGTCAATTGGGCACATATTTTTGAATATCCAAATGCCCTGGGATGATTTCTAGGAGCACTTGCATTAGGGACACATGAATTTCACACCTTGTTATGTAATGGTACAAAAGAAAAATTTCAATTCTAAAAAAACCTAAGTTGTTTGTTGAAGATTCTGCTAAAAGCATGTGGTCTCATTTTGCAAGTTAAAAGTGTTTATTCATCTCCATTCATTGAATTCACAGTGACCCTGACTTACCTAATTTATGATAATTTTAGTGATTTTATTAGGAACTGTAACTGAAATGCATTTGTATGCATAATATTCAGTATGTAACCTTGACAAAAACAATAAAAACAAGTACAGACATAGAGAAAAATAATTATTCATAGGTACATTATTGTTAAGTAAGTTATCTCAATAAGTGAGTAGAAACATGTTATATTTATAAAAACAGTGAAGGATCAAAGATTAAGCTGTAACAATTTCACCAAGAGCTTGCAATATTCTTACAAGTATAGTTCTTTTAATTGACAAGAATTAAAATCAGTCTTATGTTGAATAAATATAGAAAAATGTCCAGGTAATTTCATTATTGATATTTTAATACTAAAATTATGTACAAAGAATAATGCTCTTATAGTTCTTTGACCTATGTACATACACTATGCTTTTTGCAGCTTTTCTGATACAGTACATTACCACCTCTCACATGTATAGCTATTCTCGTTCAGTGCTGCCCTCTATATGCAAAGATTTGTCACATGCCACAAGCCTTGAACTCACATGTACCCCACGATCAATATGGTTCAACTACGTCTTACATGCAAGTCATCATAAAACCAATAGGAGCGCGACACATCCTGATGCACGTGACTCTCTCTATTAATTTCTGCTGAGCTATCACTTCTTGTTAGACAGTGATCTAGTGAAATGTTTTTCTATTGTGCTCTATTCACGTGTTTTCTTTACAATTTCTGCAAAGGAGTGATTTCATTTAAATATTTTACTACAGTTTTCTGTAGTTATGACATGATAATGTACTTCTGTTTGTTCATTTTTTTGTAATAATTTTTCACCATTATGATGAATTCTGAAGTTTGTGTCATCACTTTGGATTTTCTTCCACCTACTTCCAGCACACTTACATAGGCTTCAAATCAGGGAACCTCGACTGAGGAATTTTCAGCTTTAATTCTTTGGGAGATTGATTGTTATATGTGTTGACATTCTTTTTCCCAGTATTGCTTGAGTTCTTCATGAGTCTGCCAAACCTGTTCATAACAAGGAGGATTTCTCCACCTACCATGCCATACATTCCCAAGTCTCTCCTATGAAATCTGCTAAGCCTAACTCAGACCCTTATATATGATTTCTCAGGTGTATTCCATTTTATCCATTTCCTCAATTTCTTATGATCCTGTTCTATACTTATTACATGACACCCCTATCTCAGAGTATTTTGTTTTCCCTTCTTCTCCTGACATCGGGGTTCATGCTGAACATTTTGTTTCTCAATTGAGAGTCGTTGCTAGCATGCTTCACCTTTCATGAGCCCCGAATCATTTCCTAGGCAGATCAACCTTTTCTTGATTCTCAGCGGGGGGTGGGGGGACTGACCATGAAAATTCTATCTGTTTATCCCATGCACAGCTTTCCCACCTTTGGCTTACCTTTACTGCTCTCCTGTTGTACCTTTCCACCATACACCTCCTTTCTGAGGCACTCTACCAACCTCCTGAAGGGTTTTCAGGGGATACCTTTTTCCTCATTACTTCCACATTAGCCCGATTGTCCTCTTCAGCTCTATCCCTTCAAACATGGTTTTTTTTTAAAGGGATGCTGTCATGTTGCAGGTTCATCTACTGTCTACTTATCTTTGGGACTTATGAATGGATCCTTTCTCCATCGGTCAGTTTTTGGTGATATTCTTGAGTCTTTGGAATCATGTGTACAATCTGTGAGTCAACATTCGACCCTTTCATCTTTGGTTGCTCATTTGTCTTATTCTGAACCCTTACACTCTCTTGTTCCTTTTCTGCATCCTCCTGTCCTTTACCTATTCCTACCACTTGGGGCTCAACTATTTGTTGTGTTTCTCAATGTATGTTTTATTGTTGCCAGCAGTATTAGTGACTATCCAGTGGCTTCTGTTCCATTGGAGGTGCATTTGGCTGATTTTGTTCCGCTATTACAAATTTCATTACCAATCCTTGGGTTAGCCCTGTTTTGTCAAAAGGACTTTTCATCCATTTCCTTTAACCACCCCCATTGTCTCCTGTATCTATATTCTTTCTGTTACCTCAGGATCATACCAACTGTCAGCATCTATCTGTGGCGGTGCAGACTCTTCTATCACAGAGAGCTATCGAGCCTGTCAGCCAACCTTCCCCAGGTTTTTACTCTAGGCTTTTTGTGGTCTCCAAGAAAAGTGGGGACTGGCATCCTGTAATTCATCTGTCCTGCCTCAATCACTAAAGTCTTTGCCCGACTTCTGCATGCTTGAGGGTTGCATTTACACCACTACATGGGTGACTTGTGTCTGTTAGCTCATTCTGTACTGGAATCTTCTAACAGAAGCAGCTTGTAGTGTTGGATTCTCAAGGTGGAGAAGTCTTACTTATTACCTACCCAATATCTTATCCACTTGGGTATCTTTTTCAACACCCACTTCAGTCAGGCCCAACCTTCTTCACTTCGACTCCATTTTATGAAGCTCTCAGTTCTCCACGCCCTGCTGTTCCCTCTCTTTCTGCTTGCTTGCTTTTATGGAGGCACTTATCCCCTTTGGTCAGGCACATATGTGGTCTCTTCAGTGGACTTTGTATGACCAATGAAATCTTGTTCAAGATCCCTTGGACTCTCTCATTACCCTTCCTCCTTCCTTCTTAGACGATCTGCATTGGTGGTTGAACAAGGACAATACAATGACGGGTGTACTGCTTCCTACACCTCACCCAGATTTGCATCTATTCACAGATGCTTCTCTCCATGGTAGGGGTGTGGGCTGATCAGCAGGAGGCTTTTGGAAATTGGTTTCCAGACAAGGGGTTTTGCCATATTAACATCTTTGAGCTTTTAGTAGTATAACATGTATCACTTTCTTCCTTTTATATGGAATCGCCTTGTCATGACTCATTCGAACAACCCTACAGTGGTGGTCTATATCAATCACCAAGGGCAAGGGGACACCTGTTCCCTTTGCAATAAAACCTTGGAATTCCTTTTTTGGGCCCACACACCAGAGATATGTCTCCTTGTGTGTCAAGTTCTGGGTGCTTTCAATCTCGTGTTGAATCGCTTTCTAGACCAGACAATGTTTATCCCATAGAGTTGTCTATCGACCCTCAGGTTTTCCAGTGGCTATGCAGTCAGTAGAGTAGCTCTCATCTGTATGCATTTACCACTTTCCTCAATACCAAGTTACCTTTTTTTTGGGCTCCTCATCCTCAGGCCTTAGCTGTGGATGCTCTCAGCCTGGATTGGACCAACTGGTACCTTTATATTTATCCTCCCATCCAACTTTTTCCCAGAGTGATTTTGATCATCTATGCTACTCTGTGTCAGGTCCTTCTGATTGCTCCTTATTTGCTGGCACAACCTTGGTTTCCTCATCTCCTTCAGCTCCAAACTACCCCTGTGTTGCCTCTTCCTCTCACTTCATCCCTACTTTGTCAACCTTGGTCACCATTCCTTCATCCCACTCTTTCTACCCTCCATCTTCATGCCTGGCATTTATCAGGTCCTTGGCAAGGAGATCCAGATTGTCCAGGGTTGTCACTTCCTTTTTAGCATGGTCCATTTACCCCTTCCTTTATGGAGGTTTATCAATGTAAATGGAACATCTTCTGCTGTTGGTCTTTGAGTCAGGGTTTTCCCCTTTGTAGCCCACTGTTCCTCTTATTATGGATTTCCTCACACAGCTGTTTGATCATGGGACTTTTGTATCTTCCATAGTTGGTTATCGAGCAGCCTTATCCCACACCTTCCATTTTTCCCAGTACCATTTGGTGTTTTCCTCTCCTACCCTCTCCCTTTCAGGTTGCAATGTTAGTATTGTTCTTCACTGCCTTACTCAACCTCCTTTTGAACCTTTGTCCTCAATCCTTGTTTCACTTATCCCTTAAAACTTATTTCATACTCTTGTTAGCCTGTGGGCATTGTCAGTTGTTACCATCAACATTTCTTGCACACTGTACCATTTCACGTATGTTCTCCTTTATCCGAATCGGTTTTTCCTCCTACAAACTTTGGCGGCTTGTGAAGGTAATTCTTCCTCCTCGCCGATTTCACTTCCATCCATATCCCACCTTTATTCCTGGTCAGATCCGGATAGACTTTTATGCCTCATATGTTTGTTTTGTTTGTTTTTGAATTTTGTGCAAAGCTATGCAAGGGCTATCTGCGCTAGCCGTCCCTAATTTAGCAGTGTAAGACTAAAGGGAAGGCAGCTAGTCATCACCACCCACTGCCAACTCTTGGGCTACTCTTTTACCAACGAATAGTGGGAATGACCGTCACATTATAACGCCACCACGGCTGAAAGGGCAAGCACGTTTGGTAGGACAGGGATTCAAACCCGCGACCCTCAGATTGCGAGTCGAGCACCTTATCCACCTGGCCATGCCGGGCCTGTCCCATATATACTCTTCATACTGCATGGTTCCCTCCCATGGTTCCCATTACTGTCTTTTCATCCCCTGGCAACATTCCTCTGTTTGTGACCTTTCTCCTTCTACTCTTACAAATTAGGTTTGGCAATTAATTAGATTGGCATATTCCTCCATGTCTCCTTCTTCCCTAAATTTGTTTCAGGTGTTGTCGCATAAGATCTGGCATCTTACCTTTTCCCTGGCATCTCACCTCCATCATCCATTGGAGGAAATTCTTCAGTCTGGCATGTGGACTACACCTCATACATTCATATGCCACTATCCTTATCAGGTTACTGTTTCTTCCTCATCAGGGTACTGTCTTCTACCTGTTGCCATCCTTCAAACTTCAGCGAGGCTGTGACTGGGTAAGTTATCTTTTTTATATTTATTTTTTATTTCAGTGGCATGTCTCTTTCATTCAGGATCCCACTCACTGATGAGCATTGCCTGTCCAGGTATACTTGCTATTTCTCAAATCTGCACTATGAGGCCAAATTGTATACCCATGGCCTATAATGCACACTATAGAAATGGGATGTTCCACAATATCGCTTGTAGGTTGCTTTGTGATATGTTTGTTCTGGACCCTACTTACCTATGGACTTGCATGGGTAAAGCAGAAGGGGATGGCTGCCTATCCCTGCCATCCCTTCAAAATACAGTTTTTTGTGGTTGCCTGCTGCATTGTCTCTGGTGTCAACATTCCTTCGGACTCTCCACCGCATTTTGTCCCCCCTTGTTCTTCTACTAGAGTATGGGAGCCCTTGCCACTTTCCAGTTCTGAGCTGCTGAAGTGGTGGGCCATGGAGAAATCCTCCTGAATGTGATTGCTTTCATTCAGTTGAGAGTAGGATGATGGTATTCTGCTGCCGTATAGATGGCATTCCATCCTTCTATCATCTGCTCCACCTCCATGCAGTGGGTCCTGGAGATTAATGTTGTGGCCAGCTTCTGTGCAGTTCTATTCAAAAGGTGAAGTTGCTTATATTTTCTAGATGCAATCCACATCTGTGCAGTGGGACCCAGAGGGTGGAATAGCACTCCAACTTTTGTGCAGTCCTATGCTCCATCTCTGTGCAGTGGGTCCCTGAGGATGATGTTGCATGCAGCTTTGGTGCAGTTCTATTTGAAGGGTGAGGTTGCTTCTATTTTCTAGATACAATCCTCTTCTGTGCAGTCCTACCTGGGGGATGCAGTTGCACTTATCTACAAATAATATGGTCCATCTCTGTGTGGTGGGTCCTGGAACTTGATGTTGTATGCAGCTTCTGTGCAGTTCTATCTGGAGGGTGAGGTTGTTTATATTTCCTAGATGCAGTGGGACTCAGTGGTTGCAATTGTGCTTTAGACTATGTATGGTCCTATATGTAGGATGATGTTACTTTGGAGTAGATCCATCACATTGTAGTTCACCCCTTCAGTTGGGATCCCTCATCCTACCATCATCTGGATATTGGTTCCCAGTGAGTGGTTTTGGATTAAAGCTGGACCGATCAACATAAATCCTCACACGTTTGTTGTGTTTCTTGTTTCTCACTCAATTTGCCTCAGGATCTGCAGTGCCAGCTTCTATGTGGTTCTATCCAGAGTGTGAAGTTGATATATATTTCTAGAGGCAATCCACTGCTGTGCGGTGGGACCTGAAGGGTGGTATTGTGCTCTGGCTTTTGTGCGGTCCTCTTTTGAGGATAATGTTGATTGGGGTGACATTTCTTCCTCTTGCACTCCACCTCAGGAAGTTTTCACTGCCTGAGGCTGATGTTGTGCAATGGGGTGCTAGCCTGATTGAGTTTGATGTGACCTGCCACATTGGCACATCTTTTCCTACCATCATATGGATTTGGGATTCTCAGATGTGTGGTAAGATGTGGATTTGAACATGTGCCCATTTTGTAGATTGGTTTGCACAGTATATACTTCTGTTCTATTTAACTTGAGGTGAAGACTGTATGAACTCTCCTCCTACCATGGGTTGGAGGTTCTATTCCTGATACCACTTGGTTTTTGACTGGAGTTGATTGGCTACATATGGTCCCTCACACCCTAGCCACTCTACACCTTAGAGCACATCCATTTTAGTTTTTCCCACATTCCTGCTTGTAGATGGTTTTTATATCTCGAATTGATAGTTCGGTAGAATCAAATAGAGGGAGTCATGTGTCGGGAGGATGTGTCACACTCCTATTGGTATAGTTGTTGCATGATGATTTACATGTGAAATGCAGTTGAACCACGTTTTATTTGATATTTTGGAAATTTATCAAAAGGTTTCTTAAGTTTACCCTATGTAATGCTATAAACTCATTTATTTTTTACTTGACCATTTTCATAATATAAAAATTTTCCAACTCAGTTGCTGCTGACTGTTTTTCTTTCTTTCTAAGCATCCACTTCCCCACAACTGGCTGCAGATACTATCAGGTTGTGGGCTTGAGAACTCGCATCTTGTTTTTTTTTTTATAATAACAGGTGAAGATGCAAATATAGGTTAAATATGGTAGCTGCTGTATCCCTACCACTTTAAGTCCTACTTTTGTTGATACCTCAAAACTCAAGATACATACATGTATTATAATTCCTCACATTATAATTTGTAATTTGGTGTTATTGTTTGTGTTATCCTTTCTGCTGTGTTTCTTTAGGCCTGATTGTCATAGTTTACATAATTATATATATATATATATTTAACATTACACATTTATATGCATAAACTGTTCTGTTTACAACATGGTTTGTAGGTTTCTAGTGGACCAACTCAGCCAGTGAAGCTTAACCCAGGAAATCCATTTCTCTGACCATCACATAAAAGGCCTGTATGAAAGCACTTTCTGTTAAGTAAAGTTTGTCTACAAGTGTAACGTCACTCCAGTATGGCTATTATTGTTTGATGAAACTGGTACTAAACAAATTAGTCATAAAGCCAAAGGTATATGACAGTATACTAGCTTGTCACTCTTATATAATTATTAATGTATGAGTGTACAGGAGGTTGTTGGACAGGAAACCAAGATCATTAGGAAATAAGTGAAGTGCTTGAAAAATTAAAGAAGAGGCTTGGGAATTATTCATCAAGTTAAACAGGGAAAAACTGTGATCACCTGCCAAATACCTATTAGGACTCTAGTCATGTGACCTTAAACATTATGTATAATTCACCAACACAGCTAAAAATTAATTATTTAAGTTGCATTTTACCAACTATAGCCATATTGAAGTTCCCATACCCATATAAATTAATTTTTGCTATATGTATACATATGTATATGTGTTTGTATTTATAATCAAATAATGTTTCAAAACTCATGATCTTTCCAGGTTAAGATGTTAAATCTGGAAAATTTTACACGATTGTTAGAGCCTACAGAGGTTGAGTATGTTACATTAAAACAATTTTATAGCCTCACCATGTCATCATTGCAGTCCCATGTCCCCGTGTCTGGTTATGCTCTATGTGATGACCATGTATCTTGACAATAGTTCTACAGCATAGTTTCCATTGCAAAACACTCCATCCTAAGTCTGTTATATCTGAAATGCAGCCTCTCTTCCATGCTGCTTTCCACAATCTATCTAGTGTAGGAGGACAATTGTTTCAACAGTACAGTAGCGCAGAAATTCAGTGAATTGACTGATATATTTTCATATGGAATTGTGTCAGTACTCATTCCATTGTCCAGCTGCAAGATGTATGGGATGTTTGATCAGATATGTTTTAGAAACAACTTGTGTACACGTGACTTCCAGATGTAGGTCCTCTTGATTAAGTCGGTGTGGGACATGTAGACAGTTTTGCCATTGGCCTTTGTGTCCGTGTATTCTCACCTGTTACAAGACACCACATTTTGCTTACTACTGCTGGAGTACAACTTGTTGCAAGTTTCTTTCTGAATGTTCCCTATTCTCCAAGTTGAATCATATTCCTTTGTTTTCCAATGCCATTAAGTACAAGGGATATTTTTGTTTTGGAAATTCAAAATCCCTGATCAGAATATATCTTTATGATCCAAGTGTATGATTATTTTGCATCAGAAAGGACTTAATTACACTTCCTGAAAGTGATCAATTTTTGCCAGCATTGTACTACCTACAAAATGCCAGGCAATTTCAAAATGTGCTAATATTTTCCATTCTGCTGTGATGTTATAATGACTGTGGTTGTCAGGTTATTAGCTTATTTGCATAACCAAAATTGTTTTAATATAATGTGTTTGATCTTCTATATATGATGAAAGAACTTATGGTCTTAACACTTTTTCAGTTGAAGAAATGAATGTAATGTAAACATTTTGGCTTTGTATAACATACAAATGTTTTATTTCCACATAAATGGCAAATAGCCACTTAGATAATGAACATTTTAGTTTTATTTTCATGAAGCTAAAATTTTTGGTTACAAACTTTTTCAGGTTATTCATGTTGTGGAAAATACACACCTTTATATGTAGTTTTTTAAAGTAATCAATATTATTATTTTGATATTTGGATGATCATTTATCACATATATTTTATTTTATTGTATTTGGTGTATTTAAAATGTTGTATGTAAATTTATAATAGAACATGACATTCCATTTAAGAGAATACTTCAGTTATATTCTTAAAGTTAAACAAAAATATTTCTAATGTCAGTTGTACGTATTTCAGGAAAGACAATACCCAAGAATTGATATGTGTATGGTTGTTAATGGTGTGCAATTTGAATAATAAATAAGAATATATTATGTATTTATCGCTATGGGTCCATATTTCTGGGACACCCTGTACAATATATGGTAGAAAGCTGGAAGATAGTTTAATATGTACTGCAAAAGAATAACTTACTGACGACAGTAAACGTAATAAAAAATTATAAAGTGTTTTGTGAAGGAAATATATATATCAAATAAGATCAAACATTTGAACAGATATAATAGGTTATTTTTATTAATAACTTGTTGGTTTTAATTACTTTATCTAAATTCAAATATTGAAGTAGTATCAGTTTAAAAAAATTGTAGAAGTGTGAGATTTTAATAATGAAAATATGTAATAGTAAAGTTAGTAACTATTTTTATGATACTATTAGGAAAAATGATACACTAGAGTGCCAATTATTCAGACTAACTGGAACCAGGAGTGGTACATATAATCAAAAATCTGCATCAATGTGCAAAATTGTATCTTGGACAAATATTTTACAATATTATTAATACATACAGTTAATGCAAATAAAAATAATTCAAGCCATAAGTAAGAAATGATTCCATTTTGCATTTGGTAGACATCCCTCCTTCCCATCAAAGAGCAACTTTAATTTGAAAACAAAAACAAAAAAATGTTTTTGATTTTTAAGGTACACAAAGCAGATCTGTACTCAGTAAGGCTAATGTCACAAACAACAGTTCTGCAGCAAGATCTTCCCTTTGCTACGAAGTGGTCCAAGCCTGTTAGGACACTCTTAACATTTGTGTGGCTTTTTACAAAGAATATACATACGTATATTTATATATATTTTTAATTTTCAAAATTTGATCTGGATAATTGGACAATCGGATAATCTGCATTCTACTGTACTTAAAGTTGTGTTATGTACTTGTGTGTCTGTCTTAAACATGAAAAAAGTGAATATGAAAATAAGTGACCAAACTGTTATTTGAAAAATAATGTTGTTTTATGTGTGTAACAAGCTTTTATGTACTTGACAAGTCAAACAGTTATCCATTAAGAGATATTCATACGTGTACTATGGATAACATTTGTAAGATTAAAAAGATTCATACATAATGTGATTTCAATGTTAGTTATTTTATATCAATACCTAGTGATATGAACATATTTATCAACTTTAACTGAAGATTTAAACATTGTGTCTCTTCCAAAACATATTTACCTCCACTGCCACTTGTAGCTATTACTTGACTGCCAAGGTTTCTTCTTTGCCTATCTAAGCATTAGTTTGATTTTTGTCTCGCTTGCTTCAGTCTTTTATACTCCACTTAATTGCCCTTGGCAATATTTGTCTCGTGATACTCTCCACCTACATCAATGCACCCTCTATTCTGGTACTGTATATAAGCACCTCATTCAGATAATTTTATCACAAAGCTTCACTGACTAGTTCCCAGTATTACGATGGTTTGGAGATACTTTGAATGTTATCATGTTATCTAATTGATTTTGTAACAATAATAATAATATTTAAAAAATTATTTTTTTTTTCTTTCAATTGGCAAGTCAATTATAGTATGAATTCCTGGATTATTATTTCCGGCACAGAGGCCATTTGGGTCTCTCCTCTCCCACCTCTGATATCTAGCATCGCACAACAACTGGGGGGAGGGGGTCAGTGATCTTATTTGTAGTGAGATGGAGACATATATTCAGATCTGGGGTCTCTGAGGCTGCATTGTAGGGTGATCTTCAATATTTTGGAGAGACTTTAGATTTACTTTTTTCTGTACATTCTTTTTAGTCTTTTGGATTTTCAGCCCTTCTGTGTGTCAGTGGTAAGTTTACAAACTCACAGCACCAGGGTTCTATTGCTTAGGGTGGACGTGGCAGATGGCCCATAGTTGCTTTGCTCCAACAAAACAAACTTTACCACAGCCTTTAAATGACCTATGAGAAACAAAAAGGAGACCTCTTTGGGATAAGCTGCCTTTGATTTGTTTTTCTTCTGTTGGTTCTTTGAGTGTGTGATGTTTTGGGCTTTTTTCCCAGTTGCTTTTGAGCCTGCAACTTGATGGCTGAAAGGTCTGGGAGTGATTTTTTTATTTTCTCCTGACATGGAAATTGTGGTTCATGCTGGAAGGTTTACTTCTTAATTATGTAGAGGGACAGTTAGGCCTTATATGACACATTGTCGGAACTTCGTGATTTTGCCTATCACCATCAGGTGGAGGCATTTTTCCGACTCTCAAATAATATCTACTACTCGAATTTTGAGGTTCTAAGGTGGAGTATGTAGTTCACCTATATAGGTCTATAACCCCTGATGGGACATAGTAAGTCTACGAACTTACAATTCTATTTCAACATTTTGTTTCATTTCATTTCACTTTGTTAGAAGACTCTCAGGATCACCAGTTTCATTGAGGACAAGCTGGATCCATTGTTAGCATGCACATTGGTTCAATTTTCAGCTTCTACATTCCTCTCAGTTGTTGTTGGAGTCTCAAATGCCATTGGCTCCTACAGGGGGATCATAGTTCCACCCCTATTCATGAGTACCGATCCCCAACAATAGCTCCTTGGTACATTGGTACTCAGAATAGATTCTGTCTATATCCAAGGTTTCCACAGCTTAGTCAGATCACCAGCAGTGTCAGTGATTATTGTATACCTTCAGGAATTGTGAGGGCTCAGTTCCAAGAATATCTGGATGTGTGGTAATCTTAACCATCAGTCCAGAAGCCCTGCAGGTCTTTGGGTCACAATTGGTCATTCCGTTCAGTTCTTCCCCCACTATTATCCACCCTGCCTGTAATGTTTCCATCTCCCACAGTTCATCAGGATTTGGAACTTAGTTCTAGGGTTGTCTGAGTGGTTGGTCTGGGGATAGTGAGAAAGTTGGGCTAGTTCTTCAGAGTTTTTATTCCTGTTAGTTGTTGGGCTTATGCAGACAGGAGATTGGTGTCTAGTCATTGATCTTTGTTGTCTGTGTCAATGCCTATATTCTCCAAGGTTCACAAGTTAATAATTCCTCAATATGTGTTGATTTTTTTTACTAATATTATAGATGTTCAACTTTGTTGTAGTTGGCTCCTATCTGCACTTTGCCTTAATGGTGGAGCCCCACCACTATTTGCATTTGTGGTGCACAAGGGACAGGTACTGCAGTTCCAGGTTTTTTCCTTCGGTCATGCATAGGCTTAACATGGGTTCTGCTGTATCGTATCAGTTTTCTCATCCCTTCATTTCATCGTACTGTGCACACACCATTCCATGGAAGACTAGTTACTGCTGGCAATATCTCATCAGTTGTTAGACCATCATATCCTGCTTCTACTTTCAGATACAACCCAAGAAGCCTTCTCTTTCGGGACTGCAACATCTGTTCTAGCTCCAATTCAGTATCTCATCAGTCTGGGTATTTTTTATTTTTCATATCATCTCTTAGTCGTGTTTAGCTGTCTCCCATCCTGCTCAACACTATAGAATGGAATGCTACAATTTTTACTCACCTCTACTTCTCTCACTGCACGGATGGTTCTTTCTCTTCTGGGAATCTGGACATCACTCAAATCTTTCTTGCCTTTGAGATGAGAACACAAGTAATCCTTTTATTGGTCTTAAAGTGACCATGGATCATACATATCTGTTTCCTGGTTTCCCCAGTCAGGATCATTCTTAGATCTTGAGGGGTTAAGTTGTGACACTACAACAAATTGGATTCTTCTAGTGCCACCTCATCCAGAGTTCCATTCTTTTCACGAATGCTTTGCTTCAGGGATGGGGTACGTATACCAACAGTCAGGAATTTCAGAGTAGGCACAGACAATGAGGATTCCCTACACAATGTTTTCCTCCTTTTTGCTCTTCAACAGGAAAGGTCTCGTGATCTGGGCTTCTTAAGGGGTAAATCGTCAGGCTTCACTCTGACTATTCTGAGGTGGTGTCTTGTGTTTCTCATCAAGGAGACATATGGTCTAAGGCTCCTTATCCTCAAATTTTGGATCTCCATTCTTGGGACTAGTCTTATTTTATCACCCTTCTAGCTTGCCATGTTCCATAGGTGATGCCTGTGGTAGCAGGTCTATTGTCTCAATCCAGACAGATTCTCTCGACAGAATAGATGTTGCATCATTAGGTTCAGTTGGATTGCCTCTCATTTTGCAACTCTAATTGATTGGTTAGCCTCTCATTGGATCACCCAACTACTGGCAATTTGGTCTCCAATACCTCATCTTTGGGCCTTGGCAATAGGTGCTTTCCGTCAGGACAGGATGAGATTACCACTCTCAACCTTCTCTCCACTTCAAATTTTGTCCAGGGTACGAAATATGATTTGTTCCAACCCATTGTCAGATCATGTTGCTAACACCAGATTGGCAGCTACACCCGGGTTTCTGCTTCTGTGGTCCATCCCGGTGTGTCCAACTCCTCCAGTTCTTTTTTAGGCTTTCTCTGTGGATGTAGCCATGATTGGATATGGTACACCCAGCTATCCATTAGCTCAAGCTTCTGGCATAGAGGTTATGCTATTTTTCACACAGTATTGGGGGTTTGATATTTAAGGTTGACATGTATCTGGCTCAGTTTCTGCTTAGTCCGAAAGTTACTTTTCTCAAAGGTAATGACATGCATATTGGCATTGTTGTATTGCAAAGAACTTGAACCCTTTTCAGTCAGTGGTGTCAACCATAACTTGTTTTTTGACTGAGGTTTTTGCATCTTCCACAATCACCATTGTTTAGGCAGGTTTATCGATTACCATTTGATTATTGCAACTCCATACTTTTGACTCCCCAGTGTTCTCCAGATTCCTCACATTGTTTTGGATAATTGGTCCCAAATGACCGTTCCAGTTATGTAACAGGTATATTCAAATTACGTGTTCTTTCTCTACACCTGTTTGTGACTTGACTCTTATGCCATGTATTCCCTTTACCTGCAGGTTTATTGTTCATGGCTAATGACTTACAGACATTACAGGTCAGAGAGATTTGCACTGTTTGTTCACAGACTACTTCCCATTATCTCTACTTCCTCAGACCAGTTCTTCTTACCCAACACACTGTCAGACAGGAAAGGAGTTAATTGCTTTTTTTCCTATTCATCTGCTCACTCTTTCTCTCAATGTCCAATCAGATTTCAATCTTGGTTATGTTCAGTGAGGGTTTTGAAAGTTTTATTGCCTGCACTTATACCTTTATTCTGGGCTCTCTGAAGGCAAGGTATCTTCTGTGAGTCACATCTAATGAGATTTCTCTTTTCTATGTCCTTAGTAGACTGGTTGAATTGTGTGGACTGGTATGTGGAATGCCCCCAATACCGTTATCTCACATAATTTGCCTGAGCTCTTCATCTGAGGGTTTTTGCCTACCCCCTGTAGCTATCTTAGCTATTTCTGCTAGATTATACAGAGGGGTGAGTATTTATATTTGTACCTTTCAGGGTCCCTTACCTTGTTTTCACAGGATCCCACTCTGTGGCAAGAGTTGTCCAGAAAGGTGTGATTTTATCAAACCATTTCCACACTAGCAACAACTATTTCACTATAATTACTACAGTTGCAACAGGCTCTCTAGAAATGAAATGTTCCATAAGACCACCTAGGAGCTTACCAGGTGGTATTACCATATTATGCTGGACCACTACTCATGGACTATCATGAGTAAAGCTAAAGGGGATCCTGCCGATCATTGGATTGAGTAAATTGGGGTTGGTTTGCTTTTAAAAATTTAGGGAACTTGGTTCACCTATTGCAATGTTTACAGAGCACTGTTCCTCAAGACTCCCCAATGCACATTACCTCCAAGATGGGGTGGTGGACAGAGGCTTTTCCTTCAGGATGTTAGATTGAATTCCTCCATTCTTGAAGAAGAGGGTGAAGTTGGGATCCCGCCAACTCAGGCCCCTGGATGTTTTTTTTTTTCAGATGTCATTAGGAGCAGCACCAGCGTACTTCTAATACTAGTTCAGATTTGATGCTTGGCTATTTGGTTGGGGTATGCATATCCCTTATATTTGATCAATATCAGTTCAGTATATTGTTCATGGAAGGAGGTCCACTATCTCCTCGTAATTCTGAACACATTGTTATCCCATCCTGAGTCCTTGGT